TGCTGCAAACAGGGCAGCAATTAGCACGCAGAGCAGGATTCGGAACGACAGGTAATGTACTTCCAGTGAAAGTTTTTAAATAAAGGATATCCTCTATGCTGTGTTCAGAGACTCCCCTGAATTAAGTAAATAAGCCATAAAATTCACACATGTCACTCAGAGGGACTGGAATCGTGGGTATAGCTCTCAAGGGCTAGGCAAAGAAGGGTTTGGAAGAGAATGTCAGGAGGGGAGAAGCTCATACACCCCAAGTTGCTCTCTCTTCCTCTGTTCTATCCTGTGCCTCTGCTCAGCTCAGCTTCCTCCCGCTGTGTGCTCCCCAGCCACTAATGCCTGGCCCTCAGGTCAGGGCTCACAAGGTCTGCCCACATATCTCTGCAGACACCAGGCAAGCAGACGAAGGAGGGCCCCATACCATTTGTCTACATAGTTAAAAGTCATAAATCAAGAGAATAAACTATTAAATAAAATATGTTCTGTCCTCCTACCTTTATTCTAAGATAAAAATTTTAAATGCATAAGGTGATATGTTAGTGATTATGGGCCAACTATCAAAGATGAAAAAAATAATTATTTTAAATTAATTAGCCTGTTGATAAGCTGGAGATTTTTGGATAAGCAATAAATAAAAATTTACACAATTTAAAATTGATATATATACTCCATGAGATGTTGTTATAATCAAGGTTTTAATGTAATCTGTGCTTTATTAAGAATAATGCCAAATTATATAACTTTCCTGAGTTATTAAAATTTTTAAACTTAATCTTAACTTGGAGAAACTTTGTTCTTCTAAGACAGTAGCAACTGGAATTGTCAATCAGATTCTTAAAGTAACATTTATTTTAGAAAATGGAGAATTGGGGTTTCTGGTCTGACAGAGCTTAGAAGCCATCATTCTATCCTAACAAGTACAAAGTGGAATAAACTGAAAAGTAAAAATTCTTAGATCTGTCAGAGATTTAAGTGGCAAATTACTGCTCCCAAAACTGGAGATACAGAGAGGAAGATACAAAGAATTACAACTTGCTGGAACAGGAACCCATTAGTAGAAACCTCCAGAGGAACCAGTAGGAGGTAAGAAAATCTGACCTGCAATTATCAAATTGCTGGGGCTGTGTGGACAAATCTGACAGTTAAAAACTCCGTGGGGACTCAGTCTTCAGGGACCCCCACACTTTTGTGAGATTACCTTCCTGAAAGACCAGGAAGGAAGTCCTAGCTAATGCAATAAGACAAGAAAAGGAAATTACAGCTATACAGCTTGGGAAGGAAGCAATAAAATTGTTCGTTTGCAGATGACATGATTATCTATGTAGAAAATCTGAAAGAATAAACTAAACAAACTCCTGGAACTTACGTGATTATAGCAAGGTTGCAGAATACAAGGTTAACATAAAAGACCATCACTTTCCTATGTACCAGTAATGAATAAGTGGAATTTGAAATTAAAAACATAATACCAATTGGGGGGGGGGACACCAAACAAACCCTCACAGTACCATTTACATTAACACCCTCCAAAATGAAATACTTAAGTATAAGTAAATCTAACAAAATGTATATAAGATCCACATGAAGAAAACTACAAAACTCTGTTGAAAGAAATCAGAGAGGAACTAAATAAATGGTGATATATTCATATTTTTTGTGGATAGGAAGACTCAATATTGTCAAGATGTCAGTGCTTCCCAACTTGATGTATAAACTCAATCAAAACCCCAGTTATTTTTGTGGATATCGACAAATTGAGTCTGAAGTTTATATAGAGAAAGGAAAAACCCAGAATAGCCAACACAATATTGAAAAACAAAGTTAGAGAGGGATACTACCTGATTGCAAACTCACTATAAAACTGCACTAATTAAGTCACTCTGTTATTGGCAAAAGAATAGACAGATAGATCAATGGAACAGAATAGAGAGCCCAGAAATAGACCCATATAAATAAAGTCAACTCATCTTTAACAAAGTTGCAAAGGCAATATTGTCTTTTCAACAAACAGTGCTGGAACAACTGGACAACCCACGCAAGAAATGAATCTGGTTACAAATCTTACACTCTTCATAAAAATTAACTCAAACTTGCTCATAGACATGAATGTAAAACATGAAACTCTTGGGAGGTAAAATCTAGAATTTTGGGGTTTGGTGATGACTTTTTAGATACAGTACCTAAGGTACAATCAACAAAAGAAATAATTGATAAGCTGGACTTCATTAAAATGTAAAACTGCTCTGCACGCTCAAGCATTGCTGGTAGGAATGCAAAATGGTATAGCCACTTGGGATGACAGTTTGGCAGTTTCTTATAGAACTAAACATACTGTTATCATAGGATCCAGCAATTGTCCTCTTTGGTATTTACTCCAAACAAGTTGAAAACTTTTCCACAAAGAAACCTGCACACAGATATTTATAGTAGTTTTATTCATAATTGCCAAAACTTGGAAACAACCAAGATGTCCTTCAGTGGGTGGATGGATACATAAACAGTGGTGCATCCAGACAACGGAATTGTTTTCAGCACTGAAGAGAGATAAGCTATCAAGCCATGAGAAGGCATGGAAGAATATTACTAGGTGGAAAAAGACAAGTCTATGTGATTGGCCACATCTGTACAGTTCCAACTATATGACATTCTGGAACAGACAAAACTATGGGAATAGTAAAAAGTCCTGGTGGTCAGGGAAGGAGGGATGATAGGTTGAGCACATGAGATTGCGTGTCTGATAGTTGGTACTAAAAACTAGGTTAACTTCTAAAGCATTCAACTTCCTATTATGATTTTGAATCAATAAAACTGTAGGACCTGCCATGGTTGGAATCCCATTGCCACCTGTGCCTCAAGGTGATGCCCAGACTCCCTGAACTAATGAAAGCTTTATTTTGTTTTGTTTTAGTTGTTTGTTTGTTTGTTTTGTTTTGTTTTTAGGATAGTTATCCAGGAAATTACTCAGTGTCCAACTAATCTCACTTGGGCACTTGACTTTATAGAGCAAATTGGCCCTGTTTAAAAATCTTGGCTCCTGAGATACAGAAGCAATCCAAGTGCCCATCCATCGAAGAGTGGATAAAAAGTGATGGTACATATGTAGAATGGAATATTACTCGGCCATATAAAGGAATGAAATCTCACTATTTTTGACAGCATGGATGAACCTAAAGCAGTGGTTCTCAACCTGTGGGTCGAGACCCCTTTGGGGGTCCAATGACCCTTTCACAGGGGTTGCCTAAGACCATCGGAAAACACCGATATAATTACATATTGTTTTTGTGATTCATCACTATGCTTTAATTATATTCAATTTGTAACAATGAAAATATATCCTGCATATCAGATATTTACATGACGATTCATAACAGTAGCAAAATTACAGTTATGAAGTAGCAACGAAAATGATTTTATGGTTGGGGGTCACCACAACATGAGGAACTGTATGAAAGGGTCGCAGCATTAGGAAGGTTGAGAACCACTTACCTAGAGGGTGTCAAGCTAAGTGATAAGTCAGTCAAAGTCAGTTACCACATGATTTCATTTATATGCGGGATCTAAAGAAAAAGTAAACTAACACACTAAACAGAAACAGACGCAGAGAACTAACTGCTGGTTTGCCAGAGGGGAGGAGGGCTGGGGGACTGACTGGGTGAAAAAGGTGAAGGGATTACGATGTACAAATTAGTAATTACAAAATAGTCACGGGGATGTAAAGTACAGCATAGGGAATACAGTCAGTAAGTACTATTGTAATAACTGTGCATAATGCCAGGTGGATAATGGAAATAGTGGGGGGATCACCTTGTAAAGTATATGACTGTCTGCCCACACCGTTGTACACCTGAAATTAATATAAAGCAATATTGAATGCCAACTGTAATTGAAAATTTAAACAAAAAAAGTCATGGCTCCTGAAATCCAAACGAAGTGGATTCTTTTAAAAGGAAGTTTTATTTTGGGGGATCACCAAGGCTCAACAAATCCTTCTGGGGCAGAACCCCTCTGGACAGGATAACAGACTGCAAGGCGGGGGGACGTCCCTGCCCCTGAGCCCCACCGGCCGCCGGGCTCCCCGACGCCACCCCGACAC